TAACAAGAATTCGACTGAGAAATCCCTGTCCCAAAGAATGCTTATTTTCGCGAGTGATCAGAAGAAAAATTAGTAATTTTTTTGTGTACAAGGGGAAAAAAGGGGAACCAAGCAGATTGGAAGTCATAGGTTCCTCGTAAAAATCAAATTTGCAATTTTGAATTGTAGTTGCGTTCTTTCGTCTGAAAAACGAAAAATTTTGACGTTTTTCATGCCAAATTATTCAGATACTTATCATAACTCCAAGCAGTGACATCAATCTCTCAGCGCGAGTGTTTCAACCTTTGTGGCACCTTTTCACGATGGCCGGTTGCAAACGAACTACAGCAGTTCCGGTTTTTGCGCGCAATGGCGGCAGTGACCAAGTCTTAAAAACCCATTTTGTTAGCTAATCATGATGCGTGGCCCCTGCCTAAGTTGACTTACCTCGTAGTCAGATCCTAATGACTCCGACCATCTCCGATCCAACAACGGTACTAGATGCTAAGCTGACGCCAAAAATTTAAGGTCAAAATGAAATTACCGCAGCCGATGTCGCTCGTCTTTTGACGAGAGTAAAAATAGGCCAGGACCCCGTGCTCATCCCGAGTTTGCGGTTTTTGCGGTTTGTCCTCTTAGCGTCCAAGGTGAACTTCATTTCGGGACCAGCATCGCATCCGTCTCCATGCTCGGCGCCCACAACAGGCGCTCGTGTCGTACAACATGAATGTATATAGGGAAAGGGACCTTATTGCCATGAAACTTGAAATTGAGATACATATGGAAAGAACCTTAGTGCCATGAAACTTCGAAATTGAGATTTATAGAGAAAGGGACCTCAGTGCCATGAAATTGGGTTTGATATTGGAATATGCACAATCTCAGGTTTTTTATCGTTTTTTCTTTTAAATTTTTATTGTTTCCGACTGAAAATGACTCACTTTTGAGTCGAAACGTCTCGGGTTTCATTAATTGTGTATTTTTAGCCTTGTTTCCCGTTTTTCATCCTTGTTTTTCCACTGATATGCACAATGGCGTGGCGTGCTTTATCGATTTATCTGTCATTTAAACCTATGCTCGTTTGTATGCATCTAAGGTGCTTGTAGAGCAACCGAGTTTTTTTAATGTACAATTTTTTAATTTTTTTTATTAAATCCACAAAGTTCAAACTGTGCGAGCGAAAGCAGATGGGTTTCCTCTCACAACGATTCGCTAAGTCAATAGACCGCCCAGTGGGCTTTAAACTATAATTTAATCCCCAAAAACAAACAGAGATAATCTGATGGGTGGTTGTGGGTTTTCGGCAATGATAGCACGAGACATCCGTGCACGGTCTATAATTTGATTTTGCAGATAGCGAACTTGTTCAGAGCCTCGCGGAATTCTTTGCGAATCGGATATCTTAAATTATAGATGAGCAAATGAGTCGATTTCGCTGATCAATAATTCGTAGCGGAAGGCGTGACGTATCGAATTCACTGTAATTTGTCCGTTTTACAATATGAATTTAGTGCCTCCCCCGGAACTATTCGTTGCGTTATCTGTCTCTTTTACTATCCCCCCCCCNCCCCCATTTTTACGTCATAGATAGGCAGATCGAATGCGGATTAAGAGGAATCGGGTAGGTATTAGCAGTTAGAAAAAGGGACTTTACAGGAGGAAAGACTGATATTGAGAAGGTCATATGAAGGTATCTTTTCACACGAAGAATACTCAAATGTCAAAAAAATTAATTTCAAACAACTTCGTGTGTTTTGTCTGTTTGTTTAGTCCAAGGAATGAAATTTGGTCTGAAAATTACGGTGTATCTCGTATTTCACTGCTGGTTAGACAGAACAATTTATTTATGTAAACATGCTCGGAACAGTTTATGTTCTGTACTAATTTTCTAACTAATTTCGACCACGGTTGCATTGCACCAATTGAATTGTTTTTTTTTTTTTTTTTATATCGACTCAATCAGTGCATTACACATACTTTATAGCTAGTTGTATAAAAGTAGTCAACTGTCAAGTGTAATTCGTAATTTCCTGGTACATTATACCTACCAAGGTTATCTAACGCAAACTCTTTCTCTTTTTTTCTCAGTGTTATTTCAAGTATTTTTCCCGGTGGCAGTAATCCTGCTTGAACGTTAATCATCTTGGAATCTACTCATAAATTTTAGTATTTTTACTTAGAATGTTCAAATTAGGATCAATTTTAACTCGAGAATCCCGACAACAGAGCATTGTTGAAAACCTGGAAAAGAAAAGGATCCCTTTGAGGAACATGATTCTAATTTTAAGGGATTTTTAGTATGGGATCTCTTTAAGGCGTCGACCAGTAAAATAACGAGTATAACATTTTTTCGTCAGGATTTATGCGTTTTGCCCTTTGATCCGAAAGAAAATGCTAGAATAGGCGAGAATGAGCATGTTTATCCGGATTTTGCCATCAAATAGAATCAAAACCTTTCAAAATACCTCCATCTTCTTACTCAGCCCTCAGACTTGTTCAGTATTTCCATCGTCATAATGACTTAAGTTACCGAGGTTTCCAATCGCAGAAGGTTTAAAAAACGACTTTTAATTACAACCCCTAGATACTTCCACTTGCACGATTTCGAAAGTCAAACCGCGTGGAATGAGGAGTGGATTAACTCTCGATGATCTTAACCCCTTAATGATGAAATACGACACATCATTTAGTTGTCACCTCCTCTTTGTAGAGTAGAAGGTCTCTTCGTCATTGTTGCCAGATCAACGATGGAATGAGTCAGTTGTTCTTTTTATAAAAACATGCATTCATTGTTTACTATGATTCACAAGGAACTTACTTCACACACAAACCATAAAATTATTACGCAGTCGGTAACATAGGGGTATAGTACAGTCGTTCCTACCCCGGCTTATTTCTTTAGAAGGCGTGTTTACATGCACCAAGTCACATTAAGTCTGACTCAAGAAAAAGAGGTTTGAAAATTTTAGAAGTATTCATAAGACTCGGAACGACTGTTTGCACGTTAAAATTAATGTTTTTCTACTTTCAATTTTTGATAAGGGGAGAAAATTTACGACCAAACGGATTCAAAGGTATTCCTAAGAGGGCCGGATTCATCTACTTGCCGCCCATGGGCCGCCTGTATATTGCCGCCCCCTTCTCATTCGTTTTGAAACATCAATAAAAACCATCAAATGAACGGAACGTGCCAGCGGGGTTGGGGTGCGGCGTTTACTCGTGTTGGAAACATTTTTGGAAAAGCCCTGTCAACGCTACTACCAAAAATTCACCGAACTTTGCGCGAACGTTAAGTTTCGTAAACCTATCTCTGCGTGGACAAGGCCTTTCATTCGTAAGAAGTGAACGAAAAAATTATGAAAGAACAAACATAAATGTGGTTTAATGATTTTAACTTCCACCGCCGCGCCGCGCAGACCGCACCGTGTTTGGAGCAATGCGTGAAGTATTCCGACAGTTTTGTAGGCGCTATGAGTTTCACGTCGACGACCGCTGCTGAACGTACTGTTTGACGCAATGCATGAAGTATTCACGCAGTCTTGTAGGCGCTATGCGTTTCACGCTGACCGCACTGTGTTTGGCGCAATGCGTGAAGTATTCATGCATTCTTGTAGGCGCTATCCATTTCACGCTGACCGCAATGACCGCACTGTGTTTGATGCAATGCGTGAAGTATTCGTGCAGTCTTGTTGGCGCTTATATGTGTTAATTGCCCATCGCCGCACCGAGGGCTTCTCTTTTTCATCTCATGTTCTCGTCATAATTTCCCTCTAAGTCGCGCCGTTCCGGGCCAAATTATTGCGTGTTTGGTTCCTCTCTTAACTCGACTAATTTAAGGTGCTGTCTCTTGTATCACTTAGAGACGACAAAATTAGAAATTACTATACTCTCAGGTAATGAGAGATTTTGTCGCCTTTTCTCGTTTGTATTTTTTCTTCTAAATCCCATTTTTTTTATACCTACACTTAAAAAAATTGGAAATTTTTGCCGCCCCTTAGATTTGCCGCCATGGACAGCGGCCCATGTGGCCACCCCCTTAATCCGGGCCTTATCCCTAAAGTAAAAGCTTCTACCATGACGAAGATACCAGTGTCTGATCCTGGCAATCTGGCAAGCGTGGCCGCGTTTTGCCCCCGGATTCTTGACAAATGTTGACGCGGAACCCGGTGGCGGTGGCAGTGAATCGGTCCCCGAAGGTTCGTCGCTTCCAACACCTGTTGAGCGCTCCCGCGCCTACACCGCCCGCTCAACCGGTGGGAAAACTTCGGGAGAGATGCATTTTCGGCGGCAGCTCGGAACGTCACCGAGGGGAGCACAACGTATCTCTCCGAGTTTTTGAGCGTTGACACACCTCCTCCTCCTCCCCCCCCCCCAAAAAAAAAAAAAAAATCCTCCAGTATTCATAATTATTTTCGATTTAGAAAGAAAGGATCAGAGGAAATCTGAAATTTTTTTCTTGAGATATTATTTCGACTTGAAGCATCGTTCGTCGATAAAATGTGGGTTTTTGTAAGTTAAATCCGTGCGGACGTAACTTAAAGTCAGTTTTTTGAGTGAAAGTTACGTTGTTTTGGTAACGTTAAGATAAATTAAAATATCAATAACAAAACAACGTTTCTCTAACTAAGGGGAAAAATGGTCGACAAGAAACGACGTTTATGGTCAAAATAATATCTCAAGAAAAAAATTTAACTTGGATACTGTGTATAACGTACAGGACAGAATGTTGGAATAGTGCCGGGTGTACTCTATTCGGAAAGGATATCAAAGCCAGAAACGCATGAATCTAAATTTTGAGTTACTAAATGAACTCGAATGGGTTTCAGCGCAAACCTGAAGACACTGAAGAGGGTGAGGGTTTTGACCACTGTGGTGGATTTAGAAAACGTAGCTGCAGTGATAAAAATATTTGTATTCTTGTGGTACTCTTGGTTAATATAGGAAGTGAAACATAAACCAACACAAATTTTGTGTTTTTTTTATGTATCTGTGCTCATTCTTTTCTTCTCTTTTTTTTGCAGTTCAATGAAAGTGCAGGAGGCGATGCAAGCACGATGGAGTTCGTTTCTTCCGCTAAAGTAGAAGCTGGATTCAAAGGTAAGCTACTGTCTTATGACTTATTACAACATATTTTTCCAGTCCTTTTGTATTTCTTATCAAATCTCTCTACACTATTAAAAATTTTGGAATGAAATTCTGTGCCGGAGTCTGTATAGCGCCGAAAAACCTCGAGTGATATGAATGCAAAGTGGAAGCTTCTCTCCTCACGAAGTGACTTGCACCATTACGGAGTGGAAGTTATTCTTTTACGGTGGTAATTTCACTTCGCATGCCTACCACTCCGGGGTTTTGGGCAAATTATGGACAGATTCCGGCACCTAATTTTACTCCTCGATTTTGAACAGTGTACCTGTCCAAAAAAAAACCACCTCGTTCAATAACGCGATAAGGTTGTTTTTCCAAGGTTCCTATAAGTACTCATTCTTTAATTTCGTGGCAAGTGATATGGAACTCCAAACGTTCAGCTCATTTCTGAGTGTATAAGTCAGTTTTTCCGACTCATTCTACACGTGGGAACTGAATAATATCGTTTTTCAGGATCGCCGCATATAGTCAGGGAAAACTGGAAAATATCAGGGAATTTTCAAAAGTCAGGGAAAACCTAGATTTGTGAGGGAAAAATTGTTGGGTCACCTTTATTCGCTGTCTAGAATGGGTTCGACGTTTCGAACAACACATTTTGCCTGAAAAATGTTCCAAAAACTTCTCGCAAACCATCTGGCATACCTTCAATTGTCAGGGAATTTTACCAAAATATGTCAAGAAAATAAGGGAATTTCATCCTCTAAATTCCGTGGCAACCCTGTTTTTGAGAGTTTGGTGGTACGTTTTCTCCAGTTCGTCGCGGGGTCCGGGAGACATTTCGTCGGTGCGCGGGACGTCTCGCAGTCTTGGATTTATGTCCCCGGTCGGGTATTCGGCGGGGAAAATTCCCGACCGGTCCCGATAGCTCCCGTTCCCGGCGAGTTGAAAGGAAAAGTCGCGACACCTGAAACTTGAAAGGATCGAGAGCCGCATGGCGGCGGAGCCGTCGACCCACAATCATCAGCGACGTGAGTCCGCCCCGGTTGCGGCTCCAGACGCTAGGAATATGATGTACGGTGGCAGGTCGTAATTGCCACATGTCGATCGGAAATCCATTCCCCACCTCCCCTCTTCTACCCCTTGCTCTATGCGACCTTGAAGGATGACGCGGAAATTCCTCGATTCTATTTTTCTCAGGGTGTTTGTCTACCGTCCGTAAAAACTATGGGAATATAAAGTTTTTCGATGTTATCAGGAAAATGTCATACTTTTTTATGTTATCAGGAAAATGTCCTATTTTTTATGTTACCAAGAAATTGTCAAGTTTTCGATGTCATCAGGTAAATTAAATGTCAGGTTGCTTGATGTTATCGGGAAAATGTCAGATTCTTCGATGGTATCCAGAAAAAGCACGAAAATAGGTCATGCATCAGGAAATTCTGAGCGCTTCAAGCATTTTTCCAACATTTCGTTTTATTTCCTATGTGGCATTTTTCAACGGAAAAATGGCGAAACTTTAAATTAAATTGCGATTTTTTGGTGATGAAATTGCTTTAGGTTCATTAACATGTCAGATTTTTCTTTGTTATCAGGAAAAATCAGGAAAATAGGTCATGGATAGAGAAATTCTGAGTGCTTCGAGCATTCTTCAAACATTTCGATTCATTTCCCAAGCAGTGTTTTTCAACGGTAAAATCGCGATACTTTGAATTAAGATGCGATTTTTTGGTGATAGGGTTCATCAACATCTAAGCGATTTTTTGATGATGAAATCGCTAGGTTCATCAACAGCTAAGCGATTTCCCTCACTCTTGATTCGATTGAATCGACATTTTATCTCAATTTATCACGATATATTGTCCGATAATATTGCGATAAATTGCCATCAGTAAAATTTCGATTTTTTTTTGCAAATTAATGCGATGTAATCGAGATTTATCACAATCTTTTTATCATCCGATAATTGACGATAAAATTGCTGTAAATCGTCGTCGATAAAATCGCGATACATTCTCCGATCTAATTTTTTTACTAAAACGAGCTTCAATTTAAATATTTGAGCGAAACATTAGAAAATTTCGTCTACATTGTCAGAAACTTCGAAAATTCTACAATTACTACTCTCTTTACCATGACGGCAGAATACTCAATAGGTAATCTGGATGATGACGTCTTCGAGAAAGGCGTCTACGGTGACTGTCTCCGATCTAATTTCTTTACTAAAACGAGCTTCAATTTAAATATTTGAGCGAAAAACTAGTTTTCGTATATAATATCAGAAACTCAATTTCGAAAATTTGGCACTTTCTGCTCTCTTCACCATCACGGCAGAATACTCAATAGGTAATCTGGATGATGACGTCTTGGAGAAAAGCGTCTACGGTGACCGGAGGCGGGGAATCTGGGAAGCGGCTCGGCGAGGGGCCAGGAGCGGCCGAAGAGGAATCCGAAAGATTCGCAGGCGGCGATTAGAGATTCCTCGGGATCGGGAATCGGGATCGCTATTGGAATCGGATCGGAAATAAATCCGAGCGATGCTCATGTCGGCCAATACGGCGGCTCTATCACTCGACAGCCTGATTGATCTTAACTATGAGCGAAATGTCCTGTCCTCCTCTCGTCCGCGACCCTGTCAATGCCGCCGCCGCCGCCGGACTCCCGGGTCCCCAGCGGGCTGATTATTGAAATCTATAGACAAAGCGATAGACAAAAAAGACATGGAAAGTATGGAGCAATCCTATTAGTTGAAATGGATGGATCTTATAGACTAAGGGAGAAAATGCTGGACTAACTGTAGGGTCCACCATTCTGCCGTGCTGAGGAAGAACGCCGTATGAGCTTTCAGGCGTTGCCAAGTTTCCTTCCACAAAAACCGAATTTACTGAGAAAATTGTGAATATTTTCCCCCAAAATTTTCAGGCAATTTTGTACGCAATTTAATCTAAAATATCTGAAAATTTCAAGGAAAAATATGCATGGGTATCGTCAAAAGTACATGTTTTATCAAAGGAAATTTGGCAACTCTCGGATGTTCATACGGCGTTCTTCCTTGGCACGGCAGCATTGGTTGCCGTTAGTTAGTATATTACTTACCTCCTTTGTCCTGTCAACCACCCGATTTCACCAATAGGATCCCTCCATAACCGTTATGTCTTCTTTGTCTATGGCTTTGTCCATCAATTTCAATAATCGGATCGCAGATTTGATCCCATGTGGGTGAGAAACGAGAATATACCCCCGTCGATCCTTGAAAATTGGTCTATCACAGTCTTTTACTGGGGCGATGAGAATGGTTATGGGGCTGGAGGTCTGAAAAACCGGGAAATTCAGGGATATTCTATGACATATATACGTCACTGATCAGCCAACTATTTACCCTCTATGGTCTTTTTAAGGCTTGTCATCTTTAACGCAGCTTTTCTGAATGCCCTTTTCAGCCATTCGGGTGCCATTTGGGGATCCTCGACGACCACTTTTGAATTCCTTACGGAAAATAACGTGGGACATCAAAACCGTATATTTTTTTTTTTTTCAAATTCAGCCGATTTTTCGGAAAGAAGATATCTATGGCCGATGTTTTGAGGATTTGGCGTTTCTATCGATGTATAATACATTCCACCTCTTCCAAACAACATCGTAAATCTTGATTTTTCGGAATGTTTTGATTCTAGAATTCGATAAAAAATTATGGTTTCCATTTCCCATGTTATTCTCCATGAGGAATTCAAAAGTGGTCGTAGGGTGTATGATTCGCCGGAAAAAAGCTCTGAAAGATCTGGTGGTCACTCACTTTCCCTATTCAATGTGGGGTCTTATTTTTTCTTTGGAGTTTAGTTTTAGTAAATAATAGAAAAACACTAAGAAATGCCTCGAACTTCATGTAACAAGGTTGTGAAATGGTGCGTTGGTTCACACCATTTCGCGGGAAAAACCAAGCCAAAAAGTTGAAAAATTTCAATTAGAGTCAACAATTGTTCAAGCTCTAATGAGTACCAGTAAGAGAGAGTAAGGGGGGGGGGTTGTCCCTCATCAGTCTTGCACTGCCACCAGAGCTCAAAAATATTTTTGACTCTAATCGAAATGTTTGGCTTTGTTTTCCTCTCGAAATGGTGTGGACCTAGCACCATTTCTGTTCACCACCTGATTTAGTAGATAAGTTAGAAATTCTATATTTACTTATTTTATTCGTTCGCGCGTCGAGCTTTATAAGCGGGGAACGCGACGGAATCTCGACAAAGCTTCCGGAGTCCGTCCTCGGGAGGCAAAGTGGCTGTTCCAATCGGCTAAATTGAAATCGCACGCCCAAATCACCGTCCATCCATCTTCCATCCGCATCTCAGCGCCGACTTGATCCCGATGAAGCTATCAATATTCTCACATCCACGCCACTCTCAATCTATGCAATATGTCACCCTTCCTTTGTTCCCCTCCTCCCTGACACCCCCGCAGGCGCCAATGAGACAGTGCGACGGTCGGCGACCTGATGAAAAAATGATAACCACCGATAGAGCGGAACTTGGTCGGGATTCTCGGATTAGAATCGTCGGGTCCTGTGGATCGATTGTTGACTCGTTATCGAATGACCCTAATCGATATATAGCATTGTGAAGATAGGGAGTTATCGATCAAACTCATTCGATTACGATTCAACAATCGACTTTCTGATCCAAATTCTATGCTCCTTGCGAAACGGCGCACGGTGGATCGAGTCAAGAGGAAAAGTCGGACAAAATTTGGAAACCGCAAACGATCATTACTCCGTCAATACAAAATTTTGATGTTCCGCAAGTGGTTTCCTCGTACAATTTTCCGCCGAAAGCACCTCTTGAACTTCAAAATGTGACGAGGAAAACATTAAAATTTGCAGTTTTTGTAAAAAATTTCATGTCCGACCCCTCCCCTTTCTATAATTGACTCGATCTACTGTGCAGCGGTAGTGAGGGTGGCCAATTACAGATTTTGAGAACTTGGTATCGAAGAATGGAAACTGTACGGATTTTCCCTGATAAAGT